AAGGCCCACTGAACTCACCCAAGAGGAGCTCGACCACATCGATAGGATTACGCAGGAGGCAGAAGACGAAGCTGGGCAGGTTCGCAGATGCTGCACCATTCACCGAGGGTTTCCAAGTCCCAGGTGCAGCTGAAGAACAAGCCAGAGCAGTTCGTGATGATGACATAATACCCAAAGATCAGCCATCTCCCGTGAGCAGTGCCGGATCACCATGGGACCAGAGCGGTATGAGTCAAAAATCGAGCGGGTTTGACATTCGCTCTATACCTGAAATGGTGAATAAGCCGAATCTCAGCCAGTGGTATGAAGAGCAGTTGTCGTTCATGAAAGAATCAATAGCTGATGAAGAGGATGAAATGTATCGTCCTAGTGAAGCGGAGCATGAGCCATCACCAGGTTAGTTAAAATGTTTAGTTGAAGAGATTTCGGAGATTGTACCCATGGCATTTCAGTTCTTCAAGAAGAATATGTTGATGAGGACAAGTACATCGAGGAAGAACCCCGTCCATTAGTCAGTCCTGAGCAGGTAATTTGGTTTGTTTACTTAAACGATATGTGGCACAGTTCGAGAACCTTCAAACTGGTTCAGACTTTGGCTTGATTGGCGCTACCTTGCAAAGAGTGGGTGGAGCTTCCATCACGATCTTTCCAACTCCTATATAGTAGAACTCTCTTTTCTACGTAGAGCGTTGAGGGCAGACTGAACCACCGCCGATGACTCCTCGACAGGGAGTTGTATTTGTTTTGATGGTGGGAAGGGATTTCATTTGAGGTTTGGGGAGGGGGAGAAATTGTAGATCGAGACAGCGGAAGTGCAGATGGAGGTTATATGGAGCAAAATTGAAAGATTCTGGACCATCGGCATCCCGCCCGTTCGACGGCACCTCGATAGAGGGGTGGGAAGTGGGGAAAAATATTCTAACGACGCTGTTGCACCATGATCCAGAAGGAGGGCGTAACCATATGATGAGAGGGCGGAAGGAGGCGGCTATATTCGTGCTTGCTATTAGGAGCCTTACCACTAGCTCTTTTTGTTTTACTCCCTGCGGCTCTCTCCTCTGCTATGCCATTTTTTGGGTTAGATCTATACGGCCAGGTCCATCCTTCCCTTTGTTCCAATTATATGATCCTTACTACACCTTGGCGAATTCGGAATAGTGTAAGGTGGTCAGATCCGTTTGTGAGGCGTTTTGTCGCAGTAACCATGAATTCTGTGAAACACTCTCAGTTACTTTGAGAAAAAGGACACAGTAAACGGCGGAACGAAAATGATTTAATGCAGAGAAGCAAATTTTTGCTGGATCACCTATAATATGATTCGAGACACCATCATCTGCTTGTGATAACTCTCCTATTAGCCAAATGCTTTACGATCTGCAGAGCGTAGTTGGACCAGCAATGCTATTACGATACGCTACTCTTCACTGGAAGGGGACCCTTGTCCTCAAAATTCGTTACAGGGAGCTCCTTCGAGCGCGAATTATGTTCCTTAATGGGTTAGTACACAATGTATCGTAGTGCGAAGAATGCTTGCATGGTGTTATAGCTCCGACTCACTCCTTTGAGTCTTTTTTATCTGGAGGCAACCTGTTCTCAAAGTTAACGCGCCAAAAAGCTAAGAGTGCTCCATTAAAATTTCGCACGCAAAACTTAGTTGGATGAGAGAACCAAAACGAAAGTGTTGGCAGATCAACGGGGAGCACCAGCTTTGCGCCTAAAGGGACCTTTTTTACTTGTGACGCAGTAGCGCCAAAAGCTACAGTTGGTTAAAGGAATCCCAAATAGTCGACATCGCGACAGCTGCAATTACCGCCGCCCATCGCAAAACTTAGTTTAATGAATTTCATAAGTATGTCTGAGCTACTTTGAATTTCTTGTAGCGTCTTCTTTACTGAACTGCTCTCCTTATTCATTGTAATTTCCACCTGGCCCAGTGAACTTGAAGCGTCCCGCGAGTAAAAGTTGGACTTTTGACATTCAGCTCACACTGAGGTTTCTCACAAAAACCATCTGATTGCCTCAATCCATTGAGAGTGCTTTTTTCAGTCCAAATCACAAACTAACTCATTTGCGTCTCGTTTCATTTCAGGCTCATTCATCAGTTACGATCGAGTCCGCAGAAAAACTCACCGATAGCCCTACATCAGGTGAGCAAAGTGAACAAAGTGTGTTTGGCAATGTCATTTCGATGTCACAGCATTCTCATCTGTTATTCGTTGAGGACTCTGGGGATTTTACCCGATTGCCCTTGAACGCTTGGCTCCATTCATGCGCGTTATCGCAATAGCCAGAAATAGCTTTGAATATGAATACTAATCCGAACTGCTTCGACCATGCTCCATTGTGCATGCTTCTCAGCGAGCCTTCAGGTCCCTTGTGATTGATGGAACATTTACAAAAACTTACCAAATTGATTATAGAAGGCGATCAATAGGGTTTAAGTTGGCGATGGCATGTGAAAGCGGTCGCAACCTTGCCTACGTCACGGTCCGTTTTTGTTGTCAAATCCTGAGCGTACACCTCCAACAAACCATATCTTCAATTTCGCCGAGTAGGCTTATTGCTTGCTAGAACGACTGGGAAGATGAAATACTGATTTGAACCAAAACGGGCTCCACAAGTCTTTGCATAGACCATACCGAATTCCAACGTCACTACGATTCTGAATTGGAGTAGAATGCGTGGCGCATAGCAAAAAGGGATCGATAGACGTAGAAATGCTTTATCCTTTGATCATTCACCTGTTCGAAATAAGGGATAAGGATGGGTAGGTGATATTAGACCATCGATTGCTCCGACACAAAGGTTTCTCCATCTAATACAGCGTTAGAGAAGGCGATCGTACGTGCGATTAGGCGATCGCTCAATAGGAGGAACAACAATCAGTGCGTATCCTTCCCTTATCGCCTACCCGCCAACTCGCCTAATCGGTACGTACTTTCCTTTTTTAATCATCGCCTAATCGCATGCACGATCGCCAACTATGAACGCTCCATGAACGATTACACATGACATTTTGCATGCCATTCATTGTTGGTTTGGCGATTTGCTCGGACAAGGTTTGAACGTGACCCCGTTTGGAATGAAATGGTCTGCGGAACCGGATGATCTCTTAACCACAGGTAGTTGCACATTCCCACCCTAGACATGTGTGCTCCTCCCTTTCTTTTTGGGGAAGGTATACGGAGTATAAACGGCCCACGAAACATCCGATATATATGAGGCGCTCATGACATTACAGCACCAACTGAACTACTAATTTATTTCTGCTCTCCACACTCTTTGAATTCGAAAACTTCCTCGGCGCAAATGCCTCCTCGCACGTTCGCTGATTTACACTCTGGAAAATTCTAAATGAACTCTGGCATATTTTTTTTTTCAAAAATAGTTCAAATTCTTTTTGAAAAAGCAAGTAGGTGTTTTGTGGAAAGAAAGAAGAGCGTGAAGACATGAAGTTGAGGACTTCGAAAGAGATTTCTTGATGCAGCTTAAGTAAATGGCTGGGAATAGACGCATTTCATGCCTCCGTCAAGCGGTATTACTCAGCTCCACTGGCTGCAGTTACTATTTCCTCATCCTGAGTCGGATGATTGGCTTCCGCCCAGCTTCCCTTCGGAAAGTGCATTAACGTCATTGTCTCGCATAGAGCTGTGTTTGAAATACCTACTGATTCAGTCGACTCATCTTGAGTAGTACTTAAAACCTTTTGAAAAACCTCAGGAGAGAAGAAAGCGTCTCCTTTCAGTGCTCGCGATATCTCTTATTTAAGGATCTCAATTAGCTATTTGAGTTGATGGTAATTCCCGTATAATGCACTACGCTCTTCCTCGGCATCACATGCGGGTTGTGGAGGGGGAGAGGATGGGGAAGGGTTAATTGCTTGAAGGTATAAGAAAATGCCCAGACATGTCCACATACGTTATAGGGAAAAGGTCACCCAGACCTTTTTGAACTTCTTAGCACTTGATTACGGTATAATCCTTTCGGCAGTTCAACCATCGGATGGTGTGAGTAGTTCAACCATCGGATACGCGGCGGTCTATGACGCATTGGCTTGCGGTCGCTAGAAATGGAATAGTGCTTGCATAATGCGCCGAAATTATGCGCTAATTATCTCTGACGTGAGCGGACACCTAACGAGCACGAGATTAGGTCCAATTTCCGATTAGTTTTTTTTAGCGTCCTACCGTTGATGGCAGCTGCTCAAAGGCACAATCCGGAAAGGGGAAAGCGAAATGTTCCGAATAAGCTGAATAGGAGCAAGGGCCGTTTACGATGTGAGAGTCTTCATGGCAGAGGATGCTCTATAAAGCAGGGTCAACCGCTGGGTGTCCCCCAAGAGGCCCGTCGCGCGGCGAAGGAAGAGACGCAGATGCGGCAAAGGACGAGTCGCAGCGCGTGCTGTGCGATATGAGACGTAGTATGGTACACTCTATTTAACCTGACGCCTAACCGCTACAGTATGCGCTGCGACTCGTCCTTTGCCGCGTCTGCGTCTCTTCCTTCGCCGCGCGATGGGCCTCTTGGGGGACACCCGTCAACCGCTGCGTTCGTCTTTTTCCAGTATTTTTCCAAAGATTTTGCGACACCTTTGAGGGGTTGTCGACCTGAACCCCACCACCATCATCGGCCTCAGAAAGCTCTCTCAATAACGACCTCCTATCCCTACCGAACACCGTCCAGTAAGTAACTCTGATTAGGCGCACCAAATCCTCTTATCCACTTTGCCATTTTTTACCCTCAGCTTGTTCTGCCATCAAACGCCCTTACCACCGAGCCCTTCCCACAACACCCCATACACTAAGCCTTCCCGAACTGTGCAACACGGACAGCTTGGCCCTGCTGAAGGACATTTACCTAGCGGCCCCCAAACTTGGTTCCACGCCCACCGTATGCAGCAATCGTGTGTTCTTTCGTCGTCTCCCAGAACATCATATGTACTCTCTCGTCTCGGGACTTTTATGCTCCCTAGCATCCATTAACTCTCGTATCGCGGTCAAGCCAACACTGGTAAGAACAAAGTAACCCTGTTGTGTTTTCAATGTTTCCCTCCATCTGTCTTAACTGGCGTTCGCGTTCCACATTTAATCGGTCAATCCCTCTCCCTCCAACAACTTCAATCCTGGGCATTCTTGTTGAAAGATCGTTCCAAAATTTCACATACTGAGTTGAAGCCATTTAGCGCAGGAAGCGTGCGAGGGTAACTCTCGTTTTCCGTGGAATCTGATTTAATATACATAGAGCCGCGTGTTCACATTCTCGCACATAATGGGTCATGGGCCGTTTCTTCACGACGAAAAGAAGCCTAAACGAAACAAGTAACCTTCTCTAAGGATTAAATTGGCTCAGTAAAATAGCCGGAAAAGGCAGATAAATTAGAGTAAGCACGTTACGAAAACGCTTAAGCTCAGCTAATCCATCTGCTAATACCTTTTCACATATCTTCTTAGCCGTTGGATGAATGATCGCTCCAGTTTCATAAAGTATTGTGCATCTCAAACCGACGCCTGAGCAACGATTTCAGTCAAAGTGTTCTACGCCAGCCACAGTATCTTGTTTTTTCGGTTTTCGTATGAAATATTGTGCAAAATCCAGAATGTGTATAAATGTATGCAATTTCATTTAGAATTGATATATTTTTGCAACTATCGTTTTTATTTAAATTTAATTTTTTGCCCTGAATGTGTAGCAAACAATGTGAGACTTCAAACATCTTTTGCAAAAGACTCTAAAACTTTTTTTACAAAAGAAATTGCAAAAGTGTGTAAGTGCAAAAGTTTTGTAAAAGTTCAGGACTTTTTGGCGACTTTTGCACTCTCACACTTCTGCAATTTCGTTTGTAAAAAGTTTTAGTCTTTCAATGAATATTTGTAGCCTTACATTGTTTATCAAACATTTAGATCAGCATGAGGTTTCGGAAAAAGCACAAATTTGTAGTTAATTTTTCGTAATCAAAATATAATTTAATTTCATGATTTTGTAGTTTATGTTGCCAAAAAAAGGGGAGGAACAAAAAGGGTATCATTCCTGCTCAGTGCTCATCTTAAAGTCTAGAGCTTCTTCTGTAGGAAACCACAGTTTGAAGAGGAGTCTAGTAATTCGCATGGGAAAAGTGATGCGTAAAAAAAGCGAGTGGCCTGTTCGCTACAAAATCATTTTCGGGACGTATCCCCTCCCCCCTCCCCCTCGTCCCCATTCCAACCGCCGCCTTCCCGAATATACCGCAACGCTCTCTTGGTTGAAGATCACACGTGGGTTTTGCAGGATAGTAGATCGACTGTGGTTGGGAAGGAGAGATAGAGGCAATAGCCATTTGAAGGGTCAAAATATAGCACCCCAATTGATTATACCCGAAGGGCCGACATCTTTTTCCATGTGAATTTGTCCAGCAAGCTTAAACGCCTACATACCCAGCTTAGGGACAAAGGCATGAGAAAGTGCATTTGTTGTTAAGCCGAAATTAGTTCCTCACCAACTCAACAGTAGCCTACCTTTGAAAGAGTCAAGGCTAACTTAGGGGTCATGGGTAATCAAGGACGGATTTTCAATCCTGTCATCCGTTAGGAATAGCCCCTAAAACTTCCGGATCGGGAAGAGCAATTCGAGAGAGCGCTGTGACAAAGATCGTAGCCCTGGCGATCCCGTCGTCTGCGAATATTCCAGTAGATTCAATGACGTTTCGGATTGGATTGCTTGTTTAGGAATAATTTAGCGCATGTGTTGTTCTGTTTAGCTCCGGCATCGATCGTTGCGAGGGGCAGGACTGAGGCTGGCATCGATCGCACGTCTTCTGCTGCAGCTGCTGTTGGTGGCATGCTGGACTCCAGCCAGGGAGGCCGGTTTCGTCTCTCTGGCCTTGGAAAGTTCGCCTCTGGTGCCCTCGGAAAGGTTTGTGTCGAATTTGTCTAGATTTTTGTCCCGTTGAATAATCAAATATAGCGCGTCCTGTTTGGGTTTGCGCCTTTTTCTGTCGCTACCTTATTCGCGCTACTGCGGAGGAACCACAAGAAGTTCATTTACGTCCTAGGATCTTGGCTCTGGGTTATGTTAGCCTAGCCCTAGCACAATTTTCACACCTCGACGATGACGCGTTATCGCGATGACGTGATGACAACCTTGATGGCTTTGACGGGCCATTCTTCACGCTAATTCATCTCGTAACGATTTCCTGCCCGCTAACATTCCTAATTTCTTGTCCGTTTTAGGCAAAACAAGCAGCTGCCGATTTCGCCCAAAATGTGCCTGCCACCACCACCAAACTCACGGTGGGCAATTTATTCATTGTTTTCACTATTTCGTTCATATTATTTCTCGTCATTATGTCACTGACCCATTCACAAGCTTCATTCATTCAACCTGAACGCGAGTTTTGAAAGAAGTTTACACTTGAGCTGCTCTACAGCGCTCCTACTTCCTCTCTTACTCACATGTTCCATTCATTTCCTTTTCTTTTTTCGCTCATTTCCTCCTCGGAAATTTCCTTCCTTGATAAACAAGTACTTTTGTTTTCATTAACTCCTGGACACTCACAGATGTGCAGCTGTAACAATCCATATCGAATTATATCGAATTTCGGGATGCGCCACGCTCCTTACTTCCACTGCTATTGTAGAGCCATTTGAATACGTATGTGGCCGATGCAAAGATTTGAGGCCAACCACTCCTTTGCTTTTGTCCTTCCGGGAAAGCCTAAGCTTAATTTCCTCCAACCGAACCTAATAGCATGCCTCAGTGGCGTCTGG